GGAGAGGTGTCCCGCCCCTTTCCGTCTGCGGCGCCTGACACATTCAGCCGGCAGCCACACGAGAACCCCGGGAGCATAGCCGTAGCCAGCTACTCTTGCGCCTGAGGCAAAAAAAATGTGCCCCCCCCACCAGGTGTGTGATGTCACTCAGCGCCCTGCCTCCAGTATTTTTTTTTATTTTTTACTATTTTTTATTTTATTTTTATTATTATTATTATTTTTTATTTAATTTTTTTAATTTTATTTCTTTTTTACTCTTGGGTGGGGCTTTGGGGAAATATTAAGGGTCTAAACAGACCCCTGATATTTCCCTTTTAAAATAGAAAAAGAAATTGAGGACACAAAGTCCTCAATCTCTTTTTCTGCAGCCTCTGTTCTAAATTAATGGAAAGCAAAGAGGCTTCCCATTCATTCAGAAAATATTTACTATCATCCAGTTTCTGAAAGGGGAGGAGCCTCTGTACAGAGTGCTTCTCGCCACTGAGAAACTCATGAATGAACAGGAAGTGATGTAAAATCACATTCTGTTCATTCATAACTGGGGGCACATAGTACTATGTGTCCCCAGTTATTTACAAACACTGGAGTGATCAGCCGATCGCTCCAGTGTTTGTCCTGCACAGAGGATCGGAACATATCACTGATATGTACCGATCCTCTGCCGCTCGGCCACGCACACGGGGGCTCAGCTTCTCCTCTGGATCCCCACTGCTCTCCCGGGCAGAGGTAGCAGGGGATCCGAGAAGTGAAAGAAGCACTTCAGTGGGGTGCAGCGGAGGAGGGAGCCCCTGTCAAAGAACTAAGGCCGAGCGGTGAGGGGAGAGAGAGGCGACGGCTGTCGGATCCTGGCCGAGTGTCTCTCTCTCTTTCTCGCTCTCTCTCGTTACAGCTCGGCCTTGGTTCTGTGACAGCGGCTTCCTCCTCCGCCCCCCGCTGCAGCGGTTCCTTCACTTCTCCTCGGATCCCCGCTGCATACAGATGGGGAGAGCAGCGGGGATCCAGAGGAGAAGCCCCACGGCAGGAGGAGAGGACATCGCAATCTACCGGTGATCGCTACACGGGTGTAACGGACACGGCTGCCCATGGACTTGCCTCCATTTGAAAGAGTCTCCATTTGAAAGGGGCGTAACAGTTTCTTTCCTTTTGGGATAAAGGTTTTAGATAAATAATAAAAGCTGACATTGTAACTACTTCTATTAGTGTTAAATGGTTTGTCGCAACCCTGTAACTGTCACTTTTGCTGGACAGTTTGGTCTGCTAAAAGAAGTTATAAAATGACAGACTTACTGGGCGGATCACCAGGTGAAAATAAAGGAAAAATAGCCTAAAAAGAAAACGAATGCAGCCACCACATTTACGGACTAGGAATTTGTTGTACTTTTTCCATCTGACCATAGAAAATTTGCAGATAATCTTCAGGTGTATGGCCAGCTTTAGATATCACAAAGTCTAGATACACCCCTGTGAAAATGCTTGTCAAGTGTTCACTCGTTATGAGTACCATCCTCTGTAGTCCTGTAGCTTCCCAGCCAATCAGCATCAAGCTGGCCACACAGCATGGAGCCGGCTTCCCTGCCAATCAGGAAGCCAGGCAGCAGGTAATGACCCGCCTCCTGGCTTCCTGATTGTCCAGAAAGCCGGCTTCATGCTGATTGGCTGGGATGCTGGCTTCCCGGTCAATCAGCATCAAGCCGGCCAAACAGCATGGAGCCAACTTCCCAGGCAATCAAGAAGCCGGGCAATGGTTATTGACATGCTGCCTGGCTTTCTGATTGCCTGAGAAGCCAGCTTCATGCTACCGGAAACATCGTTATTGGTACTCTGTATCGGTGAGTACTGAACAATAAATATCGGTACTCGATACCAAAAAAACGGTATTGGTGCATCCAGGCCCGGATTCCCCACAAGGCCACCGAGGCCCGGCCTCGGGGCGGCAGGTCGCAGAGGGGCGGCAGCGGTGTCCTTGTGGAGAAGTTGCCCTCTCTACATTCAGTCCTGCTTTGTACAAGCAGGACTAAATGTAGAGTGAGGCAGTCGATTTTTCGTTTACATGTGAACTCGACGATGTCGCCGAGATTACATGTAAACGGTGTGCAGCCTCCTCCCCTCCCCCCTGCACTTACCTCTCTCCTCTGGTTCCGTCCTCCGGGCTCCACCGCTGAGTCTCTTCTCACTGCAGTGAGCAGAGCGGCAGGGTTAAAAGTAACCCTGCCGCTCTGTGCAGACTGTGGACAGTGAGAGGGGAGAGCTGTGCTCTTCCTCTCTCACCAGTCACAGGAGTTCCAGCACAGTGCTGTGCTAGAACTCCTGTATTGGAGGTGACAGGGTCAATAAAGAGAACCTGTCATCTCCAATTGCTATCACACAGGGGATTGTTTTCTCCTGTGTGATAACAATAAAGTTAGGTGAAAAAAAATTAAATTGATTAAAAAATAATTAAATAAATAAAAAAAATAATATGAAATAATTAAATAAAAAAATAAAAAGGTGATTAAAATGTAAAAAATAATAAGGAACAAATTAAAATAAGAAAATTATAAAAAAGTAAAAATAATAAATAAAAATCTAAAAAAATTAAATTGATAAATAAGAATTAAATAAAATAAAAAAAGTGATAAAAAAGTTGAAAAAAATAAAACAACAGTAAAAAAAATTTACACTAGCCCCGCCGCCCTGCCATCTGGTTGCCATTCTCCATGGGTGGGAAGGGGGGCTTGGGCTTATCGCAGAACCTGGCCCTGGGGCGGCAGGGAGAGTAAATCCGGCCCTGGGTGCATCCCTTGTTCAGATAAGGGACACACTTTTTTTTTTAAAGTGCAATATACCACACAAGCCTTGAGATCTTTAGTCCTTTGTTAGGACAGACAGTGCTGCACATCCAGTTTACAACTGATAATGGAGATCTGCTAACACAGTACAGGCAGGGTTAATTATGGAAAACAATAGCTCGCAAGCCCCTCCTCAGCATTACATGGAAGGGAAAGCTAAATAAAATGTTTCAGCTAATAAAAAGTGAATAACAATGTAAGCAGCTATTTTTATTTTGTTTTAATTATGCTTTGTTAATGGGAACTTGCAAAAGTGGTAAAACATTTTAAAGCAAACATGTGCATAACAACAGGTTCACTGTAATGCTGGCCCTCATAGCTGATTATACTTCCCTTTGCTCTGCTGCCATTTCATTTTTCCAAGGAAGTGACACACCCAGAACGTCCGGGTGTGGGAGAGTAACAACCTACTCCCCTTCCTTCAAAGTGACAGCACTGGTGCTTGGTGATTGGACCCTCAGGCACCCATTTCTGTCTCATTAGGGTAGTAAGCAGTGGCATAACTATCGCCATAGCGACCCAGGCGGCCGCTATGGGGCACAGGGGGGCCCGACCAGGACGAAAGGGGTGAACCAAAAACAAAGGGGTTCCCCTGATGCCGTGCGGGCCGCCTGGGTTGCTATGGCATAGCAGGCTGCTGGCTGTCACTGGCAACTGTGAGGAGGAACGCGCCGCTGTCCAGATCACTGAGTCAGTGACAGCCAGCAGCTGCAGTGGAGGAGGCCGGGGTTTGGCGGCGGCAGCAGAGGAGGCGGGGGGCGGTGGAGGAGGAAGAGGCAAGGCCTGGTGGCGGTGGAGGCGGGGCCCGCCCGCAAACAAGGAGGAGCGCGGGGCCCGGTGGTGGAGAAGGCTGACAGCAGATCGGGGCTGACAGGTAAGAGGTGTGCAGGGGTGTGACCAGCCCACTTAAGAGTGACCCTGCAGAGCCCACCATAGAGAGTCTATAGTGGGCTCTGCAGGGTCACTCTCAGATGGGCTGTGCGGGATCTCAGTTGGGCTCTGCATTGGGGTGTAACTAGAAACCACAGGGCCCCATACAAAATTTTGCATGCGGCCCTGTGATTTCTAGTTATGTCCCTGGTGGTACACAGGGACATAACAGACATGTGTGCACTTACATCAGATTACCCCAGATCCATCAAGGTCAGGTCCGCCAAAATGGAATTCTGTACCATTTGGTCTTCTGGACCTGGACAGAGTCAAGGGTAATCAGCTATAAATGGAACGGCTGCCCATAGACTAACATTGGACTTCCGATCAGATCTGCCAGGCAGACCTGATTGGAATGCCTGTCTGAAAGGAGCCTAATATGTGAAGCTGGGAAAGGCAGCATTTAAGTAAACATGTTGATATGATGTTAGAAGATGCCAGCTTTACCACACTTCTCCTGAGCTGTCTTCAAACATGCAGACCTACATGATATTACAATTATTTTGACAAATTTTGGACCTGTATACCTTTTTGGACAAATATGTGTTCAAACGATTTCAGAACAACACACCCACCAGACCCAGATTTATATTACTGCTTGCCGTTATATCCGACATATCTCCAGGGACGTGGAAAGCCACCACTTTCCTTTAGCTGCTGATGTAAATGGTCAGTATGAAGGGGTAAATATTCCCCAACCAGTTAATCCTTCTGCACTGAGGATGGATAGATTCTTGTAACTGTCCTTTTTCTAAGAAGCAGTACCAAGACTGCATACACAGCCTAACTCCATTGCATGCTGGAAACCCCCCATTCCTCGAGGACAAGCATATATTTCTTGCTCTATCTTAGGTCCAGCTGATAAATGTGTTTTATTAAAGTGATGCTCTCATCCATTCTAAAAATAAAAGCAGAGGAATCAGGAGATTGCAGAGGAGCTTATCCTGCTATCTGCTGTTTTTTTTTTCCTTTCTTTGTATTCTGACAAGGATTCTTCCTCAAGAACTGGCTGAAATTTGCACAGTGTATATTATCGGTAATATCAGTCCCTTTGACCGATAACCAATAACAGCAATAAGGCAAGCTTATGTCTCACATGCCAGCAGAAAGGGCCAAAGGTTCGCCATCGCTGATCTAAACAATCATTGTCACAACACATATAATAGAAGCTATAGACATTGTGGTAATATGAATAAATGTTTATTAGTTTTTAAGTCAGATAGTGTGTATGACAGTCAGGGGTTAACAGTATCTGTTTTTGTCCAGATCTTTGTATGCCGAGTTGTAGGGAGCCTTGGAGAAGCAAACGGCGGCAGCCCTGTCGCAATTGCAGATAAACTGAGCACAGGAATCACTGTAAGCTGTGAAGAGATAATCACATTTTGTTAAACATGGTCAAACCATGAAGGTATGCCATCAGATCATTATAGCTGGAGGAAATGTTTCTCTGACAGCCTATTGTACCCTATGCTGCAAATATGCCACATTTCCAGGTGTATCGAAGACATGCTTCCTCAGCTGCACGCTGAGGTTCCTCACATTGGCTCATACAGTACATACTGTGATGTACGAGCCAAGGAGAGGAGATACAATGTGCAGTAAGAAGAACAGGTCTACACACACCTGGAAGTGTGGAATACCTGCAGTGGCTGTTGAGCAGCAGCATTTGAAGACATGGCCCACCGAAAAGGTATTTGTACATGATCTGATTTTCTTTTACAGCCCAGCCTTATTTTTCTAGGCAGCCTTTGGTGATGGGGTAATGTTTACACTAATTGTCCCTAACTATCCCCGATGACCTCCTTTCATTCTTTTTTTTGTGTACTTGTTCCTTGTGTTAAAAAATATATACATAAAAAATTCTACATTTCGTCTGCCAATAATAATGGGACAAATCACTGATTAACTGTAGTGCATTATATCTATAGTAACCCTACAGGGTATTTATAAAATGTTAGTAGAGCTGTTTTCACCTGAGGTTTCGTTTTGCCCTGCATTATGGTTACTACATAGGAATTTCCTATGCTTCTCGGCTCCATCTAGTGGCCATATTGTACTGCAAATCTAAAACGCAGACATTTGCAGAACGAACAGCAATGCAAAAGTTTTATAGACACACCCCTAGTTGTTTTATAATTATTACTTGTCACTTATTTGTACTTATTTTTGCCTTTAAAATAAATAAAAACAGGAAAATTGTATTTCATACTTACCGTAATTTTCCTTTCCTGTCCAGCTCCATGGCAGCACACGAATGGGTTAATCCCTCCCTCCTCCCCCTAATCAGGATCGTAACTCATAAAAGCTGAAAGAGTCGCCTGGCTTTCCGTTCAGTAACTCGACTACTGTACGGGTGGGCCTTGTGCTGCCATGGAGCTGGACAGGAAAGGAAAATTACGGTAAGTATGAAATACAATTTTCTTGTTTTCCTGTCAGCTCCATGGCAGCACCCGAATGGGAATTAACTAGCCAAAAACAGGGGTGGGTATGCTTGAAAAGTTTTTACTCACAACTCATGGTAGAAGAAATAAAACTACGGCCGAATTCAATAAGAGCAGCAAACAGAAGGGAAACAACCATGGATTACAGTAAGGCACACATTACAGTATTGGTTTATGTTAAAAAATCTGAGGGTTTAATGTCACTTTAAGGCAGCTGGATCTACACAGTAGTGTGTCATGAACGTGTGCGGAGAAGACCATGTGGCAGCTTTACACACAGTCTCTAAGGAAACACGATTGGGTGCAGCCCATGATGTGGCCAGACTCCTAGTGGAATGAGCAGACACCCCACTTGGGACAGTTATGTGCTCAGCCTCATATGCTAACAATAGCACCTTCCCTATCCAGGATGCTGTGTGCCTACTGGATGCTGTAGCATCCTTCCGGCACCTGCCGGAACGATGGAGATGAACTGTAGACCTGAGCACTTCCGTGGCCAAAATATACGCTTTTAGCGTATTACCTACATCCAACGTACCTACGTTCTTGTATGTGAAAGTCAGTCACAACCTTGAGAGTGAACCTCATCATGGGAACTAGTATCACTCCATCTGCCAGGAAAGTGGGGAAGTGTTCTTTAAACCAAGAGCGGCCAACTCCAAAACCCGTCAGGTGGAGGTGATAGCAACTACAAAGGCAGCGTTTAATGTGAGGACGAGTAGTACTGGGCTTCCTAGAATGAAGAAGAGTATCGATTACCCTATCTGAGCAGCCCGATGTGAGAAGTCTCCGCCTCTCAATATCCATGCTGCTAGGCAAAGTTTCACAGGTGCTGGGTGAAGCATCGGACCATGAAAGGTCGGGCAATAGCGGTAGGAATAGTGGAGGCTGGATACCCATCAGGCGGAAGAGAGGATACCATGGCCCCTTGGGCCGGTTCGTAATCACTGCTAGGAGAGCCACCTAGGTCTGCCTCCGGAGTTAAGCCCAGGACCCCGTGTCCTGAAATACTTGATCGAGGAGACACCACTCGTCGGAATTCACCGTCCAGGTGGTAAGGAGGAGAGACTGACAGCCTAGTAGGTTGCAGTCCATGAACCACCACCCCAGGCTGCTCCGCATTGGGGAGACATCCGAATGAGTTGGAGACTTTCCGGCTTCCACTGCCGCAAGAACGCGGTCTGAAAGAAACAAGCCATTGGGCCCACTGGACTGCTGGAATCGTTGACACCATGGACCCGACAATCTGAACATAATGAGACACTAACAGTAGATCGTGAGATAGGGCACCTGAGAGGCACTGCTTTGCGCCCGGAACCTCTTCTGGAGAAGAGAGATTGTACCGTATGCAATGCACCGTATGACTTACCTCTAGTGGCCTGAGCTGTTGCGGTGTTTTGTTTGTTGCAGAGTAGCAACTGACCCTCAAATGGAATTACATCATCCCTGCTTGGATGTGGGATCCGCCACCCACGGTCTGAGCCACAGAGCCCTTCTGCCCGCCACTGCGGCCAACATAACTCTGGCTAAAAATTAACATTGACCGAACCTTGGTGAAGAATGTATAAGACAATCTGATATTCTTTAAACGGTCTAAGATCTCAGATTTACTAAGATCCTCCGAAACTGCTGCTTCAGCGCTGTCCCCCCAAGCCTCCAGGGCCTTGGAAGGTACTGCCCTGGCAACTGCAGGTTTGCAGGCCCCGCCGGTCAAGAGATAGATCTTTTTAAGATCCAAATCTGCCCATCTGTCCAAGACATCCTTAAGGGTTACAGCATCACCAAGGGGCAGCGTGGCATGCCTTGCCAGCCTCATTAAGGCCGCTTTAACCGCAGGCGATTGTTTAAGATCCTCTTTCTTAAAAGGATACAGCTCAGAGAATCTATCTCTAAAGGAATACTTCCCATCCACCTGACTCCATTCATCTTAGATACATTCTTCATCTGAAGAGGGAGAATCAGAATGGGTCCGGAAGACTCTCGACTGCGGACGGGGCGCCAGCTCTAGAAGGGCCCGGACTAGCCTCCTGAGCTGGATCTACAGTAGGCTGGTTTAAGGACTGACCCTATGCAGAAGAAAAATGTCTTGAGGGTATCCTGAAGGACTTTCTGCAGTAAATAACCTGCATATACCTGCCTCCTTGTCTGTAGTGGCCTCTGAAAACATGATTTACACGCCGTTTTATCCGGTAAGGCCACATTAGTACATGCCCAATAAGCCCCCGAAGGGGCTGAGGATGGTGGGACGGCCCTGGATGCTCTGACGGAATCCGCTGATTTACAGACGGAAACCGGTTGCGAAATCTTCTGTCGGAACGTAGAGTGTTTTGCTCTGGAGACGGTGATCTCCCTCAACTAGACGCAGAGGACTCACTGCGCTCCCGAACATGGCGAGAGCCGGACCTGGACAAACCGAACACAGGGTAGGTATATGATACACACACAACAAAAAGGCTGACCTTTAGACAGCAAACCACGATGAGGAGCAGGCGCCTACCTTCTTTGCGACTGGCGATCTTTAACGAGTGGGGATATGTCTAGAGGCATGCTGTGCATGCATGAAAAATGCTAGCACAACCAACAGCAACTACAATAATCAGCTAACGATCAATATAAGCACTTACTGGTGCCAAGAATGCCGCGGCTCGGCTGACTGTGTACCACCAGGCTCAAAACAGACAGCCATCTCTGAAGGGCTGGGTGACTTAAATAGCCCCCCTAATAACTCCTCCATCAGAAGGAACACAGACTGCCCAGCCGGTGGTGGAGTCGCACTGGAACACATAGCCTGCGTTCCACTCTCCCCTGGGTGGAACACATAGCGTGCATTCCACCTGCCGCCGCAAGTCTTACAATGGAGACATTAGTGGAACGGACAGCGTGCATTTCAACACCGCCGCTGGGAGGCCCAGACAGCACAGCAAGGAGCCACAAACACCGGCGCCACACAGATTATGGCACCACAGGCTCTTGTCACTAACACAATACATAGAAATACACGAGAAAGAATACCGAATAACAGGCAGAATAGGCCTGCAATGAAGCAACAACTCCATAAGTTACATTTTAAACATTACCAACGCTGGGGAACCACAGGTGACAGCAAAATACTCACAAGAAAGGCACCCAAGAGTTAGGGCACAAGATGAAGCTGACAGAGTTAGCAAACACCTTTCTGTAAGATCCAGTTAAAAGATTTAGTAGCAGAGCTACAAAAGGGCAGCAGCCTGCACTCAGCCAGCACCTGCGGGGTTAAAGCACCTGAACGCAAGCTAATGGCTGTTTCATACTTGCAAGAGTCACTTTAGGCATTAGCAGCACCACACAATCACATATGTAAAGGTGGCCATACAACTTACAACCATTGTATACCTTTTGTTGTGCAGACATCTCACCTTTATACAATGTTCTTACAACTAACACATCATGTACAGACCAATGTAGTTCACAAACAACGCTTGTCAGCATCACCATCTAGCTGATTTACATTGATCAAAAGGACAAACCTTCGTTTGAGCATGTGCAGTTTGCATCAAGAGATTTTTATTGTACAACCACGCCATTAACCTGTCAATTTTCATCCAAATAGACAAACATTTCCTGCTGAAAGACAAAAATTCTCCGGATAATTGTAAGGTGTATGGGCACCTTTAGGCGCCCAGACCAAGTAGGAATATCTCCTCCACCCATAATGAGCAACAGCAGTGTACTTACACCTTGTTAGCCAGGCCCCTAGGATCACCAGCGGGGCTACCATGGAACTGCACCATTTACGAAAGGGCTCACAGGGACTTTGCCAATTCAAGGAGGTAGAAGAAGGCGGACAGCAAGAACTTTATTCCTGCTAGGTAGGCACACTGCTCTGATCCTGACATGTAGGTAATGGCAAGCCAGGGGACTCTTTCAGCTTTTATGAGTTACGAGCCTGATTAGGGGGAGGAGGGAGGGATTAAAGGAGAACTATGGGGTTAAGTATTTTCCCCATAGTTTTCCTTAGGGTAACGGGAGGACACAAACTAGCATCCTCCCGTCACCCTAAGCTCCGTATACCGCCAGCTACAGCTCGCGGTATACTGAGACGCCGCAGTAGCAGCTTGCGGTATACTGAGACGGTGCAGCTGAAGCGGATCCCGACAATTATGTCTGGATCCGCCCAGCTGCGTGACTGACAGCTGGCTCTGCCTATCTAGAGGCAGAGCCAGCTGTACCCGCCCCGTCCGTTCCGCCAGTCAGCGCTGGTGGATCGGAGCGGGGAGGGGGGAATCCAGCCCCTCCCCTGTCACAGCTTTTCTGGTCCTCTGTTAAGTCCACACTCAGTAACTTCACAGATAGAGAGATTCCGTGGGACCCAGCCTTTTTCCTTCTACACCATAATACCTTTCCCGGGAAATATTATAAAAAATCTATTATTCCGCACCCACTGAATGCGGCCAGATGTTGTATTCCAGAACTATGCAAGACTGATAGATCACCCACGGTGTCCATGTGTATTCATAAGGTTGGAGAGGTGGAATGGATGGAAGACCTGGTCTCGTCTAGTAGGGGTTCCCATGATACGCACTGCAAGACGTGGTTTTTCTGGATAGAATTTACTCAGATGCCTGAGTTCTCTGCTTTACTGCCAGAGGCTCCTGATTGAGACTTTACATTTTTTTTCCCCCTGTTCATGCCCTTGATGCCCGTGACAGGATCGAGAGGTGAGCAAACGCCGGTATGTGTTCGCTCACCTCCCGATCTACTGAGCCGACCTGTGACAGTCTCATTGTCACAGGTCGGCTAGAACTATGAGGTGAGTGAAAAGCACTCACCTCATAGTTCTCCTTTAACCCCTTCGTGTGCTGCCATGGAGCTGACAGGAAATATATATATAAAACTTGGATGATGATAGCACCAAAAAGCTTTCTTTGGCTTACTTCTGTACCATATGAAATAACAAAGTCATTCTTGAATTATTATGTCCAAAACTGAAATGTCAAAATGGCTTAAAGTGTATGTAAACCCTAACAATGAACTTCTCTTACTTGCTACCACCTTTTGGTCTGTTGAATATATAACTGAAAGCGTTTTGTTATGTCTGTTCTATATGTGAAAAACATACCTATTGTTCTGGCCAGAATATCAGAGCTGCCCTGTGACCTGCACACTTCCTGTATTGTCTGAAGGAATCCTCCAAATTTTTATCTTGCACTACCAACAATTGTGTGGAGATGAGGAGAGTGGGAGGCATGTAGTAGATGAGCAAAAGTCACCTGGGCAGGGCTGACACCACTTCTTGAGATTTAGATCTACAAAAATGCATGCAGTGTCAGTCCACAGCAGAAAACTAAGAACTGGGTGTCTTACTAACAGGTAGCCAGTTATTTTATGGTTCTTGCAGGATCTTTCCAGGGATAAAACATGGGAAAATGTGCATGTTAAGAAGTACTACATACTTTGGTTATTTTGCCCTTGCATAAGCTTTGCTTTGTAAACCACCTGAGGCAACACTAAAAAGTTGTCCCCATGTTCCTGACACTTAGGATCCCCACCATATATCTATTAGTGAAAGTTAAGAAGTTTGCCTTATGCCAGCCCTAGAGGTCCATGTCTGAAATAAGAAAGGTCTGGAAGTGTCATTTAAAGGATGAGTCCAGCCAAAACAATTATTTCATTTTTTGAGGGACATTGGTCATTTGTTTTAATAGCCGGCCTTCTACAAAACTAACAGTGTTATTTACAAAGCTGCCGAAGGCAGCTGAGTGAATAACCGAACCGAACAGAACAGAGCCGAACGACGTTCAGCCATTCACTCCGGCTCAGTACGGCTGATTTCAGCTGTACATCGGCTGCCTTTGGTCAGCCGAACATGCTCAGCATGTTCAGCTGAGCTGAAGTGCAGAGGGACTTCGAATCAGCTGATCCAACATCTGTTTCCTATTGGCCAGCACCTACTAGAGTATTCTAGCAGGTCACGGCTAATGAATAACAAGTGGGTGGAGCTGGCTGTGACGTTATTTTTGATTAATGACAGATCATCCCCAGGTCATTTGGAAACGCTGATCTGTCATCACAATTGGGCGGAGCCAGCCGTGAAATCACGTCTGGCTCCGCCCAGCTGTCATTCGTGGGGCTAACAGCTCTTCGGCAGGCCGTTCTCCCCGCTTCGGCTGTCACTTCGGCTCATTTGAGTCGAAGCATATGCCTTCAGCTCGGGTGAGCCGTTCGGCCACCTTCAGCTGCTGTACAGGCTATAGTGAATAGCCTGTACAGCAGCCCTTTGGTTCAACTGAACCAAAGGCCTGCGGCGGCCCGAGAGAGCCAAAGGATCAGCCGAAGCTATGGCTGGATCCTTCGGGTGTTTAGTGAATAACCCCCTAAGTGTCTCACTCCTTCTGCTGCATTCTCAGTAATATGGTTCACATGTAAGAATAAATGTAAACATTTATGAATAAAAACTCCAGTAACAAATTATAAAAGAAGATATTTGTTTTTGATCAAATGCTCAGTGACACGATTTAAATTAGATATTTGTAGTCTTTTTCTAATTTTGGCACATCATTTGGAGTCTGATTGTTCACCAGAGCAGACAACACAATGTCTATTCCTATAGACCATTCATCCAAGAGTAAGCTGGCATACTTACAGGTACAAGTGATAGATGTTCCAGAGCAGCTGTAAGCATAGCTCTTTGTATATGGATTATTCGAAAGACCACTACAGCTGGACATGGCCAAAGCTTGGGAGTAGCAGTTGTCATGGGTTTGGCAGCATCTAGATAAACATAAATCCAAGTCATTTTATTGAGCTGTTATACTGAAATTGGGGGTTGTGACTGAAATTATTTATAGCATTGTGCAGTTTAGATTGATGCATTTCAATAACATCAGTATATGGGTTCATGTTGATGGTTGTTCATGACTAGTGATGGGCTCGGGCGTGTTCGCAGCTACACGTGCCGAGCCCTCCAGGAAGCTGACAGCGCGCAGCGCCAATTACAGGTGCTGAGACATGTTCCCGGTCCGCAGCTGCAGAGATCGGGAAATGTCTCAGTGCCTGTGATTGGCGCCCGAGCCCATCACTATTCATAACTTACTGAATAGGAATCTCCACAACAGAGACAGAAATAGTAATACAAATCAGATTGTTCTAACCCTTCCCCACTCTATCCTAAATTAAAAAAATTTTTGGCTTGAGAAAGGCTTTAGTAAAAGTTTCTGGTGATCACTGGGCGCTGCAAGCGTTTACCTGTCTAGAGTGTCTCTAGGGGTTCCGCTTCCTCCTAGTCCACAGTAACATCCATAGTTGTTAAATTCCTGCAGGGGTGCACTGCTGGGGATGGCACATTTAATCAAACTATGAAACTGCCACAGCGCCCGACTGGGAGGTGAGGCACAGGCGCAAGATACTAAAACACAAAAATGAATACATTAATAAACACAATTAT